CTAACATTCAGATATAATGGCTAATTTTATAGGACTTCTATAAGAATCCTCTTTTTCCCTTCTCCTAAATCCAAACCTATATGAGATCTAGAAAAAAAGAGATTAAATATTTGCTTCTGCTAGAGCTGCTGATTATTTGCCTCAAGTGTGTGATGCATATAGCCTTCTTCCTTTCAGCCCCCAAATGAATGACCGAACTCACTGCTACAAACTGGATGTGCTACAGATTTCTCTCTCTCCTTTCCTCCCTCCCTCCACTACAAATTGGATGTGTTACAGATTTCTCTCCCTCCCTCACTCTATCTGTCCCTCTCTCTCTGTCTCTCCCTCCTCTCTGCATCCTCACTCAGGCTGTCAATGGTTTACTCTGAGAAACACTCTTATCCTTGTCAGCTGCACTCTTGCTAAAGACCCAAAACAATAGAACTGCCCAACTTTACACTAGAAATTCCAGGAACATGATATACATAAACATGTGCTCTTTCTAAGTTGATTTTCTGACCTATTTCATTATAATAATGGAAAAGTGAGTACCAAAAAAAATCAAACTGGCACTTGGGACAGCAACCTAACTAGATCTGAAAATGTAGAAGTGTGGTTTAAAGGAGTACAAAGGAAGAGTCAGAAGGAAAGGTACTGAAAACCTAGGGTATTGTAGGTAGGAAGTTTCTATAGGGGCTCAAAGCACATGGACTCAGCCACAGTTGGTAGAACATGGACTCTACCACAGCTGGTAGAACGTTGGTTGCAGGGGTTCAGTCCCAGGAGATCCCAGCCCTTCCCAGGCCAGCTCTCAAGCCAGCCCTTCTCCACCAAGTTCTGATCTCTTCTTCCCCTTACCAGAGCTCCACGTGGGCCAGGAAGATGAAAGGCCCCAGCTGGAAGCTCCTTGGCACCAGAGCTGGGTCCTCACGGCTGCCATCCAGGCTGGTCGCCTGGATGGTGACCCCAGCCTCAGCCCCATACACGCGGGCTCTGGTGGCTGACTTCGTAGACTATAAAGTGAGGCAGAGGGTTATGTCTGTGGAGCTGGGCCTGAGGAGGGTCCAGAAGCTGACATGCTGCATCAAGCCATGGAGGCAGCTGGAGATGAATCTGAGACCCACTTCCCACACTCCTTCTCTGTTCTGGCAGCTCAGCTGCATGGGACCGCAGACGCAGCCCAGCAACTTCACCCAGGTCTCTGATGATCTTTTCCAAGGGAGCCCCAATTGGGGCAGGAGTGGATGATGGCATACCTGGACACATGCCTGGCCGACTTTATCCACAGCAGGGCGGGCTGGGCAGAGTTCACAGCTCTATATGGGATGGAGCCCTGGAGGAGGCCCGTTGTCTGTGGGAGGAGCACTGGGCATCAGTGAGGGCCTTGCTGACTGGGGCTATGGCGCTGAGGACCCTGGTAACTAACCTTAGGAGCACTTTTGGTAGCAAGTCAGAGAAAGTCTGGGGCCAGGTCTGGCTAAGTGTGGCTGAGGAAGGAGGTGGGCAGGAGAGCAAAGGCAGCACAAAGAATGCCTTTGGAACAAGGTGGGGGAAAGATGGGAAATGAATGGTAAGGGAGCAGGGAAGGGCAAGGTAAGGAAGGTCATGCATGAGGGAGCCAGGCAGGTGTCTGGAAGAGTGAGCAGGAGATATTGGGGAATGTTTTAAGAAGGTGAGAATCTAGGAGACGCAACCATTCCAGGAATTGGGAGGGAAGATGGGGGAATGATCTATTGGATGCTCTAGTGGATGGACATAGGAAACCACTTGAGGCTGGCTTTACAACTCCAAGGAAGGTGGACTTGCATGAGGAATTGTGCCCCCATTGGCTGAGTGGGATTTGAGACCCCAGAAGTTGCATCCCTTTGGAATGAAACCTTGGTAATGAGGTGACTGGGAGCAGTGGCCATGGCTGAGGGCTGCTTGGATGTGTGTGCATGTGCATGTGTGTTCCTGTGCTTGCTGGACTGTTTGTCTAATCTGGTGATGGTAAGATTCTTCACGGAGAAAACATTCCCTCTTGCAATGTCAAGAACAAGAAGGGATAGGTCTTTGCCCTTCCTCTCCCTCCCCCGACCCCCACAATTTCACCCCTTTTCTCCATGCCTCAAGGTTAAGCAAGAAACTCTGTATCCAGACCGAGGGAGGACTCTGGCACCTCTCTGCAGAAAGTCACTGGCAGGGCTTTGGAGAAAACAGCTGTTCTGAAACTGGCCTTGTTCCTTCCACATCCCCTCTGTGTGCATTATGCACTTGCTGCTGCCTCCTGTGCTGATTGAGGGCAGGGCTGTGGAGCCTGGGTGGGTGGAATCTTTGGTAGCTGAAACTGCCTGCTACCCTTCCCTCCCACTGGGACACTATGGTGCCTAAATTGTTGCCTATTTGGGGGACCTCTGCACCTACACTGAAACTCTAAATTGGGGCTCTGATTTTCCTTTCCTGGCTATGGGCATAAATGCTCATCTAGAATACAGTCTGGGTCCTGCATTGTCTCAGTGAGATTTTTGATGCCCTGAGAGGAACATTCCAGCTCTGAGCCCCATTGTGTGATGGTGACAGGTATTCCATTACTGGCATATGTTTTGGAGTGGGCTTTGGTGCTGCTTTATCAGGGGCCAGGTGTGTGGGTTCTAGAATACCTACAAGCATTTTCATATTTCCTTTGAAGCCACCTTGTTTGCATTTACATTAGTAGTCTCTACTTCAGAGTCTGAGGACACTAACTTTAGGCCTCAACAGTCCTCTAGAACAAATCCAAACTATAGCTTTCTCTTTAGAGGGAAAAATTCATTCCAAACGCAGGCCCTGAGTCGGACCTCACTGCTGCACTTTCCAAGGTGCTCAAATTGCTGCTCTCCAACACTGATTTCCTTCACAGTGCTCTAGAACCCTGCCATGGTCCTGAGCACTCATCAGCTTAGCCAGACCACCGTTGACTGCTTCGAGATTTTTCCCTTGTCCTAGAATGTGGCATCCTAATCATGCTTGCTGGAATGTGGGACCAAATTAGCCTCAGGTATTTAGTCCACACTTTTGCTTTTGAGAGAGGGCTGCAGGTTTTAATGGTATTTATGGGGGAGGTGGTTAAACTGTATGAGCCACTTGGTCTGTTATTCAGTGTGCTGAACCATAAACTCAGAGCCTATCTATGGCAAGCATTTGGGGTAGGAGGAAACCTCTGACTTGATCAGGACAAACTAGGCCAGTGGCTTACAAACTGCTTGGCAAAGCATCAAAGTATTTTAGGGGTTGAGCCTCTGGAGTCCTTGGGGAGGTAAAGGGGTGTGAGTTGGGAGAGGTGAGCAGACTGGGCAACTCGCCCTTAAACAGAACAGGTCCCCTTGTAGCTGTGTTTCATATTGGGGTTCAGGGTAACATTTCATTTGCATGAGGAGGTTTGCTGCTGAAAGACATTGGAAAACCACTGAATAAGTCATCAGCTCCCCCAGGTCCAGAGCAGATGCTTCATCAACCATTCACCACAGGACAACAATCCAGTTAGTATTCCTGGGGTCCTTCAGAAGTGAGGAGAAACAGGGACCAGGCTGAGGTTACTGAAATTCCTGTTTTGAGGACTTCACACCTGAGTGGAAGAAGAGGCTATTTTCTGGAAGGGGAACGGGCTTGGTTTGTGCCACGCCTACTCCAGTGGAGTCTGCTTAGCATGGGAAACCTGCTTTCAGACCTGAGAATGGGGCTTTACAGAGACCTATCTCTGAGTATTGGGACTTCACCGAAGTCTACCTCAGAGAACAGGGCTTCTAAGAGGCCTACTCCTGGAAAAGCTGGCAAACCCCTGGGAAAGATGTGTTTCTGCCTTTCTTCACTATATAAGAGTGCCTATTAATCTTTTACTGCTTCTACTGCTCTTTGTACTTACTCATTGTCAACGTTCCCTTATTCAAAGCTCTTTCTTAAGAGTGTTGACGACTCCAAAATCTGATGAGTGTCTTAAAAATATGACTAACTCACCAGAGTTAAGTGCTACCCTGAAACCCCTCTTATGGAGGCTAGTAGACAAGTTATAAGTAAATATAAAAGTATTGGGGGTTTCACGAAGTCACTTCAGCAGAAGGAATTGTTTGTAAGGGACTTACAAGAAGCTGTAGGCTCGGCTAGAACAGAAAGAATGTATGGCAATTGCTGAGATAACTATTTAGGAGAAAGAATTTCCTGCTACTCTCTTTTATTTACTAAGAGACTTGCTAGATCTAGGTCTCCTTGAGGTTTACTATTAAAGAAGAAACAGGAAAGATCTTATGGGAAAGTTAAGGCCTCTATAAAGATAGGTAATGGTTAATTGGTAACAAACATCATAATCGTTGTATTTCTTAGAGATAAGCCTGAAACAAGTGCCTATCAGGTGACCAGCTGGTGACCACCCAAAAATGAAGCCATGCAGCAAGATTGTGTAACCTTTAGCCCTTTCTCGTGAAGACTTCTGTTATAAAAGTTTGTTATCCTCTGCATTAAATTGCACCAGCATCCACTCCTAATGTGTGTGAGTTGTCTGTTTGCCATCTCCCCCCCTATTCCAGGTTCCTCCCCTAGGTATCCTCCATCGTTCCGAAAGAGCCGGTCCGCAGCAGGTTGGTATTCCTAGAAGCATAGCTTAGGTGGGACCACAGTGGACAGTTTTGATCTGTTCTACCCTTAATGTGAGGGGCAATGGAAACCCCAGAGACTCTTCTTCCAGGGAAAACTAGAGACTCTCTTTAGAAGCTAGAGTTTCTTGGCCAAGAAGTCTGAGTATGGCTCCCTTATTGAGTGAGGGAAATAAATGTAATAACCATTTTATAGATTAAATAGATAGAGAGTATGTTTTTTGCTCTCCTGAGCCCAAAGGGACAAACAGCAACTTTCCTTAGGCCAAGGAAGAAACAAATCAGCCTTGCGATTATTAATCACTCTCCCCATTTATTCTTGGGCATGCATACACTAGTTTACTTTTTAATATCATAAAATGACAGAAGATTTGGTCAGTTTAGAAGAAAAGCAAAGCTCTGTAAAGATAAATATATATTCCTGTATTTTTATTTAATAATTTATAAATACCAAATATATTGTTCTTTTAATTTTGTGTAATATGTAATGATGATATTAAACAAGAAATAAAGCCCAGAAATTTAATGAGAAAAAAATCTGACCATAAAATTTAACTTTCCTGACAAAATATTTCCCAACATAAAAGGCTAAACAAGTGAACTCATCCAATTCTTCACAAACACAGTCATGCTGCCCCATACTTTGGAGAGTAACAAGACAGGAAACAAATCTCAACTCACCTTATGAAGTCAAAAAGTCATTCATACCAATACCTAACAAGGATAAGGCTAGAAACACATACAGGTAGATGAAAAACTAGAACCAAATATTCTCAAAGTAAATCCAAATGCATACATTCTCAACAAGCAGAAAAGATGAAAACATATAGAGTTGTTTTGCCAAATGAGCAATCAGTCATTGTAACACACATTAACAGAAGAAATGATATGAAGCACATGTTTTCCTGCCAAAACAATAATTATTGACATAACAAAACTATCTCTTGAGTCTACAGGTTTCTCGGCGTCTTGGTACTTATTCCAAACGCGAGAGAAGAAATGTTGGGAGCTCATGGAATATCATCATATGACCTGTAAAGAACATAAGTTTTAAAAAATAGATATATAAGAGATATGAACAAAGTCATATACAGCATTCTTCACAGAACCCAATGGAAGAAGCAGCTCAAGTGCTCCTATGGTATTTAGACATGCAGTAGAAAGGACTCAGCCTGAAGAAGAAAGGTAATTCTGACGTAGCTGCCATAGAGATATATTCAGACAACAGATGGCTAAGAGTAAGAGGCCAGTCACAGGATGAATACCAATAATTCCAATCACATCCATAGAAAGCAAAAGTACAAGAGTCACTATCCCAGGGCCTGGGGAAGGGGGAAAGGAAACATGGCTTCAAATGTGAGGACAGTTTCACATTGCAAGAAGAACAAATAAAACAGCAATTATGTACTTAATATTGTTAGAAGCACTAATGATCGTAAAAGTTCTATGTTAGATGTATTTTGCCAAAAATCTTTAAATTACCTCTCCCCAGGGATCAAGGTTAAGAGGAAACTCTTGGTAGAAAAAGGACAACTAATGGGCTATTAGTACATGAAAGATCAAAAAGTAGGGAACAGACAGAAAAGAAGGGTTAAAAAAACTCACCAGCGCTTCCAAAACCACAGTGCAAGGCACAGCAAAAGGATCAAGCAAGGCACTATTACTGCAGCAATGATTAAACCAACAGAGACAGAGTATCCTGTGGATTGGAAGAGTAATCAATTGTCACTTCTAATGACACTTGCTCCATTACCTGGCCTTCCTTTGCCTAGTTAACAATCTTCCCTGTTTTATTTCCTTGTCTGGATTCCCTAATATCATATTCTTAGTCCTGGGTTCCTGTTCTCATCTTCTCTTCTACTTCATTAAACTTTCCAGAATTTTCCAATAAAACAGTAAAAATCGAAAACAGACAATTTGCCAAGGTCCCAGTGGAAAAAGCAGAACTTCCCAACTGAAAAGACAGCAGAAAAACATTATTTTCTTTATTTGTTAACCAAGCTGCCAAATATAAAGAATAAATATATCTGTGAGCTTGAAATATTTAAATACAAAATGTTAAATATCCACAATTAAATGAAAGTAGGATGATGATTTAAAAAGCTGATAAGTACCTCAAAATTTGTTCAAACAAATTTATTTATGTTAGTTTTAGTTTTAGACTCAGGGTCTGGCTCTATCCCTGAATTCTTTGGCTCAAGTCTAGCACTCTAACACTTTAACCACAGCTCTACTTCTGGTTTTCTGGCAGTTATTGGACATAAGAGTCTCACTGACTTTCTTATTCAGTCTGGCTTCAAACCCCAATACTCAGATTTCAGGTTCCTGAATAGTTAGGATTAGAGCTGTGAGCCACCAGCTCTTGGACCATGGGATCCTTTGAGGGTGTTTTGATTATCTTGTAGACAAGAACTAATATGTATTACTCAATATATATTTTATTTGTAAATACTTTGCCTATTTTCCCTGTTTTGTTCTGCCTGTCTATACACAGACACATGCATCTCAATAAACTTACAGTAATAGAATGGGATGTAGATAAAGCTGTTTATTAAAACTGATCAGAAGTGAAGTACCATATATAATATTCTAGTATCTTTTCCTTTGAAACTAATGCTTTTATTTCATATTTTCCGAGTCCTTGTTGTTTTCACATGAATTCTAGTAGCCTAATTATTTAATAAAAATGGAACCAAAACACCCAGCACATCCATAACATATACGTTTTTGCTTTAAGTGTAGAATATAAATGCTTATGCCATACATATGGACTGTACTGTCATGCTAACGGAAATATCCTAATGTTTTAAAGAATAATCTTAGCAGTGACAGGTATTGAAAATGTATTTTAAGTTGGGCACCATTGATTCACACCTGTAATCCTAGCTTCTCAGGAAGCTGAGATCTGAAGATTGGAGGTCAAAGTCACTCCGTGCAGGAAAGTCCAGGCGATTCTTTTTTTTTTTTTCATCTTCTATGTATCTCTTTATTGTCAAGTTGATGTACAGAGGGATTAGAGTCACATAAGTAAGGTAATAAGTACATTTCCTGTCAAACTTGTTACCTCTTCCGTCATTTTCTCCTATTTTCTCTCTCCCACCACCCCCTGCAAGTTACACAGGTCATTTCCAGCATGTTGTCTTGTGACTGTCACTGTCGCATTAGTTCCCCTGTTGTCCTTTGTCTCGCCATTCTGTTGTTCCCCTACCCTTCCTTAATTCAGATAAACATATATGCAAAACCCAGGGTACCAAAATCAAATACAGTGACAACAGGGGGTATACCATAGGGGGAACAACACACAAAAGAAACAAGAAATCACACGGTGCATTAAAAAACAACAACAAAGGAAAACCTCTTCTGTACATGTCTTGGAATTCATTTCACTTAGCATCATCTTACATGGCTATATGTACATAGCTATTGAGCTATTTTGCTCACCTGCTACGGTTATCCTAGACATATACTAATTGTTGCAAATAAGGGAAACCATGGGACCTATGTTTCAGAAAAGGCCTGAAGAGGCACTGTAGTTCAAGTGTAGTGGTAGAAAAAAGAGTAGTGGTAGAGTTGGGGGGGTGGGAGGGAAAAGATGGTAGGGGAAAAACAAAGGAGGAGGTAACAATGTTTGATAGAAAATGTACTCATTACGTTGCTCATGTAACTGTAACCCCTCTGTGCAGTTTTTTACAATAAAAAATATAAAAAGAGTAGTGGTAGACATAGCTAAGATATGGAACCAGTCCAGATGCACCTCAGTAGATAAATGGATCAGGAAAATGTGGTATGTATATAAAATGGATTTCTATGCCTCCATAAGAAAGAATGACACCGCCCCATTTGTTAGGAAATGGAAAGACTTGGAAAAAATACACTAATTGAAGTAAGCTAGACTCAAAGAAACATAGGTCCCATGGTTTCCCTTATCTGCAATAACTAGTATATGTCTAGGACAAGCAGAAGAGGTCAAAAGCTATGTACATATGACCATACAAGCTGATGCTAAGTGAAATGAACCCCAAGATAGGGACACAAGAGGCTTCATCTTTGTTGCTGTTTGTTTTAATGTACTTATAGTGTACTATGTGATTTCTTTTGTTTCTTTGTATGTTCTTCCCCCTTGTTACAACCCCTGTTGTCACTGTATTTGATTCTATTGTCCTGCATCTTGTATATAAATTTTTTTCTAATTTGGGGAGGGAAAGGGAAATAACAAAATGCTGAAATAAGGATCCAGGATGACCCATTGTACCAATGAGATGTGCAGACACTATGTTGAAAACAAACTTTACAACTTTGCAAGGGGCAGGGAGGGAAGGGAAGAGTTGGGGAGGTGGGGAGGAAAGGGATGGTAGGGGAAAATAAAGGAAAGGGTAACAATTCTCCATAGGAAATGGACTCATTAACTTGCTCATGTAACTGTAACCCCTCTGTGCAGTATCTTTACAATAAAAAATATATATTAAGAACAAAAAGAAGGTAGTAGTAGAGTGCTAGCCTTGAGCACAGATAGTTCAAGGACGTCGCCCATGCCCTGAGTTTAAGGATGAGGACTGGCAAAAAAAAAAAAAAAAGAAAAGAAAAGAAAAAGAAAGAACACATTTTAGGTTCTTTAGCATGCTGAGTTCAAGGTGACTTTACATATATCTTTTGAGACCTGTGTGATTTCGTTTTGCCAATCTACTCAACCTGAAGCAAAAGGAGAAAGGAAATAATTTCTTGATTCCCAAGACACATTGAGAGTCAGGAGCTGATGCTATTGCACACAAGAGGTTTCAGGAGACCAAACACAGGCAAAGCCACTTCTGGAACTGGCTACTGAAGTGACAAGGAGCTGGGAAGATTATGCATATCTCAAGCCTCTGTGGAGAATCTGAAATTCTATAAAGGCATCCAAAGATCATTCATCCAAAGAAAAGCAGGTGGCTGCACTCTAGACAAGATAACATTTTCCCAATATGGATGTTGCTGTGAGGGATGTTGTGGGCAGCAGACAGCTGACAAATGGAAACATGCACTGGAAATGGATATAACAAAGCAGGTGCAGTTTGGTAACTGATGCTCAGAGGCGATGTTATGAGCCTTCCACCACAAGTGAGGCCTACATTCACTAGGTTCAGTCTACACGAGTGCAGGTGAGCAGATTTGGGTCACTGTAATTTCTGTGTAGATATAATCACATTTCAGTTTGTAATCATTGTGAGACAGTGGCATTTGTGCTTCAAAAATTCTCTTCATCGCCTGGTGCCGGTGGCTCATGCCTATAATCCTAGTTACTCAGGAGACTAAGATATGAGGATCCTGGTTCAAAGCCAGCCCAGGCAGGAAAGTCTATAAGACTCTTATCGCTAATAAACCACTAAAAAAAAAAAAAACAGAAATAGTGCTGTGGCTCAAGAGATAGAGCTTTAGCCTTGAGCTGAACAGCTCAGGGTCAGCATCCAGGCCCAGTATTCAAGCCCCATGACCAACAAAAAAATTCTCTTAATCTCTTTATTTAGGGTCATTGGTATCTAAGAAGCTCTACATGTTTAATATATGTAAGTCAGTGTTTGGTCATAGAGATATACTCATAAATCATAAGCACACTGAAGTCCAAGGACATATCCATAACCTCCTAAAGTCTCACCTCATCCTACTTTGTGTGTGTGTTGAGTACTTAACATGAAACCTACCTAGCTAGCAAAATGTAAATGCATATTGAAATCTAGAGAAGGATTAAGGAAAGAAAAGGAGAAGGGGGAGATCAAGAAAAAGGAGAGAAGGAGAAAGAGAAGGAGAAGGGGAGGCAGAAGGAGAAGGAGGAGGAGGAGGAAGAGGAGGGGAAGATGGAGAAAGAAGAAGAAGAGGAAGTAGGAGGAGAGGAGGAGAAAGAGGAAGAGGAGGAGGAGAAGGAACAAGAAGGAGAAGAAGGGGTAGAAGGAGAAGAAGAGGAAGAAGAGGAAGAAGGAGGAAGGGGAGGAGGAGGAAGAGGAGGAACAAGCTTCTGCCTACAAGGAGATCATAGGTGACAAAAATCATACCATTGAAGGAAACTGAAATATTGGTCTGCTGTTCTCTTTCTCTCTTTCTTTCTCTGTCTTTCCCTCCTCCTTCTTCCTTCACTTTACAGCTGCTATAGAATGTCCAGCTTCTGCACAGGTGATAGATATGTGTGTATGTGTGTAGGTCTAGATGTCAGAACTAAACTGATCAAGACTGAGGCCTCAAAAACTATAAGCCAAAATAAAACTTTCCCTTTTGAAGATGATTGTCTAAAGTATTTTTATAAAATAGTAGAAATCAGACTAAGACAAAAGACTTCTAATCATTATTTTTCAAATGAGTGGTTTGTTATTTAAAGCAGAAATTTTGGAACATTATTGTCTCCATTACTCATTAGTTAAATGACTGCTGCTCTCATCTGTAGAAAGAGAAAAATAGTAACTGGCCAGTAAGTGTGTTAATGTCTGCTCTAAAGAGATGCCATTCAAATTATTTTTCTCTTTTATCTTGTTTTCCTTTTTCATTCAAATTATTTTTGTTATCCAAATAGCTTTAACAATGTCATGTACTTTTTCATTTTCACACTGGTAATGGCATTTAAGTCACACTAACATTCAATGTGCAATCATTATTATATTATCAGTCATAACAAGTAATTCATAACATATGTTGTGTTTTTGTCTATGGTGTTCACTCTTGGGTCAGGATTATGGAAGAGGGAATGTAAAGTCTGATAGACTATAAAGGAGGCTCAAGTGTCTGGCTATTCAG